GAATTCCTTATTGTTCCGTCATTTCATCCTTTTTATGGAAAATTAATTCAACTGCTTTCTAAATGTATACGACGAGTCATTTAAGTCGATCTTTTCGGGCGCCTCCTAAATTGAACAGTTTTATACAAAGATAAAACTTGTCACTAGACAGTTATGATTGCCTTTATGTGTTATGATCACCAACAAGAACTTAGCAACTTATTCTGGCTTTTCTGGTTTATACGTCAATGATACTGCTGTTTAGATCTTTAGTCATAAATAATGAAAACCGCTTTTTTTAGTTATGTCAGAACTCATATCAAAAAGGGAAGGGCATGCTTTCATTGCGGCAAACAAGTTAACGCAAGAAAGCGGCTGTATCAGAGCCCCAACACCAAGATCAGAGAATGCTAAAGAAACAATAAGAATATTACAAGGGAGTACACATTGATGGCATCCTGATAAAAGTCACAATGATCAATGAATTCAAAACGCAAGCTACAACGGAGCTCAAAGCGTTGATAGCAATCAACGAGATGGCAAAACCTGTTTCAAGTCTTTCAAAGCTGCCGTTGCTCGGCGATACAGTGAAATAGTTCATAACTGAACTCCAGGCTGAAAGTCGGAAAATAAATTTCGAAGTATACGCAATGTTTTTAAAGTCAAGTAATCCTGCTGTGAGACGAAGGGAAAGCAGTTATAGAACGATAGAAGTTGCCAATTATGTTTGTTAATTTGGCTCTGGTGTCTTTTATGAATGCTAATCACTTTCATTTTTGACATACTGATGAAATTACTAAACTTTCAGTAATAATGCCTTAAAAGTTTAATAGATGAAATGTAGTATCGATGAAAAAGGCAGACTTTGTCTTAACATGGAAGGTTATTTGCATAGACTATTGAGTGGAGTGGCCCCGACAGAGATCCTCATTTTCAACTTCATCATTTTCACCTGCAAACTGTTCATGCGCAATTAATCGACTAAATACAGTCAACACACTAAAATGGTTTCTTTCTTTCATAACCTGTTTCACGTGAGCTGCTGTAGTTAGACAATGCGGTAAGATTGTTCATAACGTAAAATGGACTCAAATGGAAGGAATATAAATTTCGAAGTTTACTTCAAGTTTTGAAAGTCAATTGATCTTGCCACAATGCTTAAAGAAACATGCAAACAGAGTTAAAAAATTCTAAAAGTTGATACTATTTTTGGCAATTTGCATCTGACGGCTTTTATGAATGCTGATTTTCCACGTTTTGTTTTATTGATATAACTATGTTTTGATATATAATATGTTTTTACTAGCTAAAATAATGATAAATTATTAAACTTTCATTAATAATGCCTGAAAGGTATAACAACTGAAATATAGTGTAGATGAAATAAAGCAAAATGTCCTACATTGGAAGTTTATTTGCATAGACTATAGAGTGAAGTGGCCCCAGCAAAGATCGTTTTGGTATGCCACATTTACTGCACTCCTTCCTTGAGTTAATGGATTTTAATGTCACTTCCTAGTCTCCTAGCCTATATTCTTTATTTATAACACGGAATAATTGTAGGAGTGTCGCTGTTGATATTCTTTGTTGCTGTTTTTGACATTCAAAACGGCATTTTAAATGTCTTGTATTCTCATGCAGTAGATAACATGATTTAAGGCATAATTTCCATGGACTATAGATTGAAGTGGCCCCAGTATAGATCCTTGCGGTGTGCAACAATTCACTACGATACTTCTTTGTCTTTTTCCTTTGCACTTTTTATCTATCTGTCCTTTCGTTGCCTTCTTGAGTGCATTCTTCATTCTTTTTTTCATTTTTTTCTTGTTTTTGAAAAATTGCTTCTTTCATTTGATTTCCTAAATTCTTTTATTTGTTCCTTTTTGAAGAAGGTCGGTACTAGATTTCACTTTGGAGCGAGGAAACTGTTTTTTCGTTCGTTTGTTTTGTCTTTTTTTTCAGAATAAAGTAAGAAAACTGTCAATTTTTTCATGAAAAAACTGCACACATTGAATAGGACAGCGTTTCAACAGTTGGAAATTATTACACCAAAAAACTGCATAAGTATTTTTGTATATACTTTCAATGTTGCTGTTGACAACATGGCATGGTTCGAAACAGCTGCAACAGGGCATTTCGCATGTCTTGTATTCTCCAGAAGTAGATGACTGGATTCAAAGCACTGTTTATCAACATAATTGTGTATGTTAGGTACCACGCAATAGCGCTCCTTTTTATAACGAAAGATATAATTTTCTCGCTTACGACGGGAACATAACAAACTGCCAGCGTACCCATGATATAATACATTGTGTTCACAGTTTTCTTGTATCCTGGAAGGTCCAAGCTTCCCTGTACTGCTTGCTCTTGTGCATGGATGGTTGCTGAATGTTTACTTACAGCTCGAGAAATTTTCACCATTAGGGTTATGTTCAGAATAACCAAAGTAGCCACAACAGAAGGGTAGATTATTTCGGCAATATGAAACCATTGAGTGAGAAGACCAGACAAGCCTAAAATCCAAATAAAGATTACAGCAGTAAGGGATCTCTGCGTTGTAACAAGTTCTTGATATCTTAGGTGCAAGTTAAGAGCAAGGAACCGGTCGATGGTGATGGCAGTAATCGTGAGAAAAGAGGAAAATACGAGCACCCAGCCGCTTTTTTGAGTTATGTCAGAGCTCATATCAAAAAGTGATGGGCATGCTTTCATTGTGGCAAACAAGTTAACACAAAAAACCGGCTGTACCAGAGCCCCAACACCAAGATCAGAGAAGGCTAAAGAAACAATAAGAATATACGAGGGAGTCCACATTGATGACGTCTTGATAAAAGTTGCAATGATCAAGAAATTCAAAACGCAAGCTACAACGGAACTCAACGCGTTGATAGAAATCAAAGAGATGGCCAAGCCTTTTTCAAGTCTTTCAAAGCTGCCGTTGCTCGGTGGTTCAGTGAAATTGTTCATAACGAAATATGAAGGTACTTTCGAAGTACGCGGCAAGTTTTTACAGTCAGTTAGTTTTGCCTAGAGATCTAAGGCAAATAGGGTTATAGAACGATAATACTTTTTGTAGCTTAGTTTTGTTAATTTGGTTTTGTGGTGTATTTTATGAATTCTGGTCGCTTTCGTTTTTTTTATTGGCATGACTATTTTTGACATACGGAGTTTTTATTTGTTCACATACTGATGAAATTACTAAACTTTCAGTTATAATGCATTAAAAGCTTAACAGCTGAAATGTAGTATAGATGAAATAAGGCATTATTTTTCTTAACATGGACGTTTATGTGCATATAGAGTGAATTGGCCCCAGTAAAGTTCCTTGTGGTATCCCCCATTTTACTGCGATCCTTTCTTGACTTATATCTTATGTTGCCAGCTGCATTCGTTATTTATCTGTAATTTATTCTTCATTGGTTTCTTCTCTTTTTCTTTTTCTTCTTTTTATTTTCTTTCTTGAAAGCAAAAAAAAGTTTCCTTTTCTTCTGGTCTATTCTGTTCTTCGCACTTTTCTTCACGAGGTCGTTGCTTCCTCGTATTAGGGGAGAAAACTTTCTCTTCTTTCAGAGTACGTTAAGACACCAAACCGTCAATTTTCACATGAAAAAAAAATGCATACATGCAATGGTATAATGTTATGCAGTTTGAAGTTATACTTGACACTGAAACATTCTAGGAGTCCTGCTGTACATGTTTTGACCGTTGCTGTTGTAAATATCGAATGGTTCGAAACAGCTGCAAAACGGCATTTCGCATGTATTTGGAAACTCRCGCGTTTCCTTTAGCTACAGAAGATATACTTTCATTTCGACAAACATTTCATAACAACAACAAAAACGAGCTGCACCAGAGTCCCAACACCAAAATCAGAGAAGGCTAAACAAAGAATAAAAATATATGAAGGAGTCCGYAATTGTACAAAATGATCAAGGAATTCAATGAAAACACAARCTACATTGGAGCTCAAGGCATTGATAGCAGTCACCGGGATGACATAATCTGTTTCAAGTCTTTCCAACCTACGATTGCTTGAAGATGAAGTACATAACAATTGCTTATAATGGAAAATTAACTCAACTGTTATCTAAAATTATATGACGAATTTATAAAGTMAAACTTTTCKGGCACCTCCCAAATCGAACAGTTTTATACAAGGCAAAAYTTGTGACTAGATTTTTTTCAGTTTTCTACTGATTGTCTTTATGTCCTAGGGTCACCGGTAACAACWTTAGCAACTCATTCTGGCTTTTGTGGTTTATTCTTYAATGATAYTGCTGTTAAGATCTTCTTTAAACCTCTATTTTACTACAAATTTGTTCGRGTTATATATGTGCTACAATCAGTGTTTGGGTTGCGTTGAGAATGCAAAAATAACTTGAGTTTTATTTGCAGTCAATTCAGTCCTTTTATGGTAACGGACTGTATCTGGTATTAGTTCAATTTTGGCTGGTTTAGACACCTCCTCAAAGGCGTGTCCCTGGCTGATGGCACCACATATAGCACTCAAAATATACAARTATATCTTTCAATGGAATTATTTCTTGTACTTGGTTACAGCTTTTTTTTGCACTCTCACTTAAATCTAATTCTGCTTCGACGTCATGTAGTTCACTACTTTGTTACTTGCATAGTAAAGTTAAGATAAAAACTGGGCTGGACATGCATGGATACATGTGTCTTCCATKTTTTCTGGTCGTTACAGATCTTGTCACTCAACGCGTCAACACATGACAGTCCTTGGCCTTATTTTACTAAACTCCAAAGTTCTATAGATTACGTCAGCCTAGTGCTGCGTAACATAAATATTTTGACCATTTATATTTTATTAACATGACTGGTTTTAACACACGGTGTGTTTGTTAGCTGGGTTRCTGTTTAAATTATTAAAATTTCAGCAATAATGTAAGTAATAATGCCTTAAAACGTTTTAACAACTGGAGTTTATAGTCAATGAAGATTAATTTGCCTCAACATGTAAAAAAATCTGCGCCATTAACCACAGATGGCAAGAGAGAATCGAAAACCTTATCAAAAGCCACACTTGGCTTAAGGATGTTTCTTCAATCATTTTTCGTGTGAATTCTTTAAAAAATCCTGGAAACATTTTTTTCATTTGAAATAGTCAACCTCAACGAAACATCTTTTTAGAAAAGAAAATACGGGCGTTTTATCTTAGAACATTACTTTCAAACTGTTAAAAATCAGGCAGTGGTGCAGACCGAAACGAAAGTGATATGGAGACATTATTAGCTAATATTATATTGCTTTTTGTCTGAAAGTTTTTTCTCTTGATATTTGATTTAGAAATTATGCGGACAGTCTTCTAGAACTCGTTGGCTTTTTCAAGACTTGATACCGAAATGGCATTCATTTTCGTTTTATATAAATTGAATTTTCAATACTTGTTTTGTGAACGCATAAGAATTTCCAATAATGAAGTTAGTATAATTTGTACTATACATTTGTATCTTGTGTAACATAGATCAGAACACGGAAGGGGTTTATCTACATGGACTATACAGTAGTTTCGTGGCTCCAGTAAAGCACCGTTAACACGAGCAATCTTTCTTTGACAAGTTTTTTTTTTTCTTTGTTTGCAGCATTTAAGGTGGCTTCCTATAGTTTTTTTTTTTTTTCAACATAACTCTCTTTTAAAATTCAAATACCTCTAAGAATTGATAAGATCCAGAAAAACGTTTTGGAATAGTTGAAAACAAATTCATCAGTTCGATTTCGAGTAATATACAAAAATCATAACCATAAAATATGATTGAATATGATGAATTTGTTTTCAACTATTCCAAAACGTTGTGCAATAGTTTGAAGTTAATGATGATATCTACCGCTTTTCTGGATCTCATCAATTTTTTGAGATATTTGGCAAAAACGAATTTCGACAAAATGCGATTTCCGTTGCCTTGGTAACGTTGATGGAGCTAAATATTATGCCAAACAAATCTTTGGTCAATGCTTGAATACTGGTAGAAATTAAATTGTTGCATGGCAAGATTTAAAAAAGCAAATGTAAAAGGAAAAAGATAAAGAAAACCGCTCGTCATGCACTTTTCGCATGAAAAAAGTACATACATAAAAAGTATTTACARCGTTCCATCAGTTCAATTTACAACACTAACTAAAACTTTTTTTGGGAGTCTTGCTGGATATGTCTTCACTGTTGCTGGTGTAGGCATGGAATTCTTCGAAACAGCTGCAAAATTGCATTTCGCATTTCTTGTATTCTCCAGCAATAGATAATTGGATTCAAAGCGCTATTTATAAACATAATTGTGTACGATACGTCTACTGCCAAMCCATCTATATCGACATAATATAACGCAATTTGCACAATAAGGAAAGGAATATAACAAACTGCCACCGTACCCATGATATAGTACATTACGTTCACAGTTTTCTTGTATCGTCGAATGTTCAAGCTTCCYTGTACTGCTTGCTCTTGAACATGGATGAYTGYTGAATGTTTWYGCACRGCTCGAGAAATTATMACCATCAAGATTATGTTCAGAATCACTAAAGTAGCTCCGAAATATAGATAAATTATYTTGACAAGATCAATCCATTGRGTAACGGGTCCAGACAAACCAACAAYCCAAATGATGAYCAGAACTATACATGATCTTTTGGTTGTTACGAGTTCTTGATATCTTAGGTGCAAGTGAAGGGCAAGGAACCGGTCGACGGTGATGGCAGTAATCGCCAGAAATGATGCAAACCCAAACACCCACGTKATGTTTTCTCTRATAATATTATACMTCTCATCAGAAGAGGATGGATATCCTTTCATTTTGWMAAACATTTCAACACAAAACAACGGCTGTACCAGAATCCCAATACCAAAGTCAGAAATGGCTAAACAAAGAATAAGAATATACGACGGAGTCCACATTGATGGCGTCTTTATCAAGGTTAGAATGATCAAGAAATTCAGTAACCAAGCTGCAACGGAGCACAAACCGTTGATAGCAATCAGAGATATGAATTGATCTGCTTCGAGTCCTTCCAAGCTACCATTGCTCGGCGTCGAAGTACWATTGCTCATGATGGAAATAACAACTGACTAACTTTTATTTTGAAAGACGTTTTAAGTATACGACGAGTTTATATTATACAAACTAAGTCAATATTTTCGGCGTTTGCCAAAGGGAACCAATTTAGAGAATGGACAAATTCTGTCAATTTTTATTCTTATTGTATGCTGATCAATATCGTTTTTTTAATAATGTGATTCCTTTTGACAACAAGATGTCCGTGTTTATTAGCTGACTTGCAGTTCAAATTATCAAAGTTTCAGCAATAATGTCARGAATAATGCCTGAAAAATTGGTAACAATTGCAGTTTGGTGTAAATTAAAGCTTAATTTGCCTCAGCATGTAAGAAATCTGCGCCATTAACCACAGGTGGCCATTTAATGAAATGGAGAAGCAAAAACCTAATCAAAAGCGAAATTTAGTTGAACGTTCTCTTTCAATATTTCTTGTTTGTTTTCTTCTTTTTTTGTTTGTTTTGTAATGCTGATAAAAKAAAATTTTCAGTCAATCTCAAGGAATYGTGTTTATACAGAAGAAAATACAGGCGTTTTAACTTASAATGTAACATTCTAAGTGCTAAAATATTCAGGGAGGGTTTTACCAAAGAAAAATTATATAAAGCCGTTTTTAGTTGCTATTTATTGCTCGTTGCTGAAAACGTTATCTCTTACAATATTTAGTTTATAAGGTATGCTATGAGTTCCCGCTAGAAATTACATATCAAACTTGCTGCCATTTTATTTTTATTTTTTTATGCCGAAGTGAAATTCATTTGTTATGAAGTGGACTAACAAGAGTTGTCCTTTGAACGCATGAGAATTTCCAATCGTGAAGTCAGTAACATTTACACTGTACATTTGCACTATATGTAATATATATCAGAACATGGATGGGTTATTTACATAGGCTACAGAGTGTCGTGGTCCCAGTAAAGATCCTAGCGGTATGCCATGCTTGACTTCCCTTCTCCCTTGACTTAAGGTGGCTTCCTATTGTTTTTTTTTTGTTTTGTTTTGTTTTTTTTTTTTCGACTATACCTCTCCTTTTAAATTTGCTTTTTGAGAATCTTGCCATGCACCGATTTAATTGAAATTTGGACCAGTACTGAAACATTGACCAAAGTTTTGTTTGGTATAATATTTAACTCCATCAGCGTTACCTAGGCAACAAAAGTCGCATTTTGTGGAAATTCGTTTTTGCCATATATCTTAACAAGATTAATGAGATCTAGAAAAGCGGTAGACATCATCATTAACTTCAAACACTAATTRCACAACGTTTTGGAATAGTCATGTGTACGATTTTCGAGTAATATTCAAAAATCKCATCCATAAAATATTTGTCAATATTACTCGAAATCGAACACATGAATTTGTTTTAAACTAAAAAAAACTATAGAAAGCCACCTTAATGTGGATCATTATGTGCAACTGAAAATGCCATATCGATCATATTGAATCTTCGACTCATAACTTTGGCTTCTTTCAAAAAATTAAAGTTATAAAACTTGACCAATTTCAGTTTGTAAAGCAATAATATACTTAATATGCTATGATACAGCAATATACAAAAATTATGATTATTTTGATCATACAGYCTTTTGCACAAATTATGAGACATTTTTATATATATAAATATACCTAACCAAATATCAAAAACACCCMAGAAATTATGGGATRCCGTCGCTGATATTTTGTCTGTAACAACCTGATGCTAGGCAATCATGACAAAATATAATAGAGATATACCATAATTTCTGGGGTGTTTTTGATATTTGGTTAGGTATATTTATATATATAAAAATGTCTCATAATTTGTGCAAAAGGCTGTATACAAAAATTATGATTATTTTGATCATATTTCAAGTATGTATGAAATATATCAGAAATTAAGGGTTATATTTTTTTAAAGTTGACTAGCACTATTACTTTCTGAAAAAATATTCACAATTATATTCCATAATTTTTGATATATTTTATATCTACTTGAAAAATAAGCAAAACAAATCATAATTCCTGCATTGCTGTATTTTCGGATTTTATCACATAATTACCTATGAAGTACCTATATTTCTCCACTTCATAAAGTTGATATTTTTACTAGTGAAAATAACACATTCGAGGTTTCTCTATATAGTGGAAGTAATAAAAAGGCATTTTACGACATATATAGAGGATATTGCACGGTGGCGCGAAGATATTGATTTTATTTTCGAGTGGTGGAAACAATATTGTTTTTACCACGAGAAAATAAAATTCATATTTTCAAGCTTTGGGAGATCTTTTCAACAATCGAAGATAAAATCTGTATCTCCGCGCGCAAATGTAATATCCTCTATGATATTTTATGGAAATAATTAGCGATTTACATGCTAATAATATACATGAAAAAAGCACTCAATTGTGATTGGCTGTTAACGTCTCAATTAATTCTTAATTCAGTGTAATTACATTTCTACAGTTCAATTTCAACAGACTGAGAAGTGCAAAAAGCTGTAATATCAGTGCAATTACAAACGAAAATTTGCGCTTTTGATTGGCTAAGAAACAAAAGAGATGTTTTCAGCCAATCAGGATCAAGCTTTCTTTTTTTTTCGGCCTACGGCCTCACGCAATGATATCCTCTTTRAAAAACAAACTTGTGCAAATGAATTCCAAATTGAACTCGAAACCATATTATTACCTATACTAATTGAGTTAAAACATATGTATTCTTTTCACAAAAATTCCATTTTTCAGAAAAATGGGATCGTTATATTTTGATGAAAATTTGCCTGTTCAACAGCTGAAATGTAGTTTAAATTAAGACTATATTTCGTATCATGAAAGGTTATTTACATAGACATTGAAATATAATGACCTTTTAGTAAAAATTCTACTTGTGTCTTGTCTCCTTCCTTGACTTGATGTCTTTTTGCCTGCATTCGTTATTTATATMAAGTCTTTTTCTCGTCTTCTTGACTGTATTCTTTATTTTTCCTACTTATTCCTTCTTTTGTCCATTGAAATTCTCTCTGCTTCTCTTCTCGTCTTCTTTTCTTTACGAGGTAGGGGAGAAAACTCTCTTCTTGGAGAATTAAGACAGCACACCATAAAGCGGTGCTTGCTCTAATATTATAGCTCACATCAAAAAGTGATGGACATCCTTTCATTTTGACAAACTTTTCAACACAGAAAGCCGGCCTGTACCATAGCCCCAACACCAAAGTCAGACAGGGCCAAAGAAACAATAAGAATATACGAAGGTGTCCACATTGATAGCGTCTTGATAAAAGTTACAATGATCAAGAAATTCAAAACGCAAATTACAGCGGAGCACAWAGTGTTTGATAACAATCAACAAAATGTCAAAAGCTGTTCCAAGCTGCCGTTGATTTTATTGGCTGATCCTGTATCATATTATGAAGGTTTCTGACTATTATGTCTCGAAGCTGTTTAACAGCTGAGATGCTGTATAAAGTCGGACACTATTTGTGTAATGTGGAAGGTTTTTTGAATAGACTCAAGAACTTAATCAGGGATAGATTTTCCTGGATTTCATGTCTTTTCTTGCCTACGTTGGTTATTTATCTGTCTTTTTCTTGTTTTCTTATTCGCATTCTTCGGTGTTCTTTTCTTTCTTTCTTCCCCTTAGAAAAAAGAAGTCCCTTCTCTATCCTTTCATTCGTTCCTTTATTCACAATATCTCTTCCTCGTGTTGGGGAAGGAAASTGTCTTTTCTTGCAGAATAAAGAATGCAAACCTTCAATTTYCACATGRAAAAACTCCATTTATAAAATAGTASATCGTCATACAGTTTGAAGTTATAACACGGAATTATTRTAGGAGTCTTGCTTGAAATGTTTCACTGTTGCTGGTGTAAACATGGAATGCTTCGAAACAGCTGCAAAATGGCATTTCGCATTTCTTGYATTCTCCAGCAATATATGATTGGATTCAAAGCACTGTTTATCAACATTATTGTGTACGTTGCTTGTACTAAAAAAACGCTTATATCTACATAAAACAATACAATTTGCGCAATAATGAAAGGAATATAACAAACTGCCACCGTACCCATGATATAGTACATTACGTTCACACTTTTCTTGTATCGTGTAAGGTTTAAGCTTCCYTGTACTGCTTGCTCTTGTACATGGATRAYTGTTGAATGTTTTCGCACGGCTCGAGAAATTATAACCATTAAAATTATGTTCAGAATCACTAACGCTGCTGCGAAATATAGATAAATTATTTCGACAAGATCAATCCATTGAGTAACGGGTCCAGATAAAGCTAAAACCCAAATGATGATCAGAACTATACACGATCGTTTGGTTGTTACGAGTTCTTGATATCTTAGGTGCAAGTGAAGAGCAAGGAAMCGGTCGATGGTGATGGCAGTAATCGTCAGAAAAGATCCAAACCCAAACACCCACGCGGTGCTTTCTCTAATAAGATTATAGCTCACTTCAGAAGAGGATGGGTATCCTTTCATTTTGGTAAACATTTCAACACAAAAAACTGGCTGTACCAGAATCCCGACACCAAGATCAGAGAAGGCTAAAGAAAGAATAAGAATATACGAAGGAGTCCACATTGATGGCGTCTTTATCAAGGTTAGAATGATCAAGAAATTCAGAACCCAAGCTGTAACGGAGCTCAAAGCGTTTATAACAACCAACGAAATGACATAGCCTGGTTCGAGTCTTTCCAAACTGCCGTTGCTCGGCGTTACAGTGAAGTTGTTCATAGCGGAAATTGTAACTCAACTGAAACTCAAAGCATGGATAGCAATTACCATATGACATTATCTGCCCCACGTGGTTCTAAAATACCATTTCTTAGCAGTACAGTTGAACAAATCATCATTATGGAAACTGAACTCAAGTGAAACTTGGAAATAAAATTTTTCAACGTAGACGATGCTGCCCACTTGAGGATATTRAAATTGATCAATAAAACAAGGGAGGTCTTTTCTTGTGGCTTTTTAAGAAAACGATTATCGTTTTCTTTCTGTGTGTTTTYTTAAGTTTTTTCCCCACACGATGCATTTAATATGACAATCAATTTTTTGACGTCTCAGTAATTTTGACTGAAAACGTGAAGCAGCTGATTTTCCTGCAAAGACCTGCAAAAATAAGAATATCAGACTGATTGCTTTGGGTTTTCTTTTAAGATCTGGTAGAAACACCTTATGAAATTGTGTTTTACTTAAACATTGAATCTAAATCGACACAAATAATACAGTTAGGGAAGTTCCCTGAACATCGTCATCAATTCATATATTGAGRGTTTACTTAATTCGTATTCATTTTCATTATGTAATCCTCAAAGACAGGCTGTCGTGCAAAGTGATTCAACGTTTCCTATTCTATTATTTTTCAGCTGCGACCAACCGACTACATTGCCTTCACGCTTGGAACATGACTTGGCCAGGACTRACACTTGTTGTGGTGTAAAGGTACTATTCCAGATATTGACATTTGTAATGTTGSCCTGGTAACTTTCTGGTAGCGTGAAGCCGCCATTGTAACTGTCTTGATCATTACCAAGTATTAGCATACCTAAAACGATGGTACATGTAATGGCAATCACTATATGGAGCTTATTAGAAAAGTGTTATCGGGTTTCAAAAGTTTATTATATCATATCATCAGAGCATTGGAAAGCAAGTACTATGAGTGCMCAGGGTGTGGAGGGGTTTCACGGGGAGGGGTAGRGGGGTTGCTGTATTGTTTTAGATTCACATCGATCAAGCTGGAGTAAGATTAGTTTGCATACTATTAAAAAAATGACCTTTTCTGCGAGTAATGCTGTAATCGSTGTAGATTGCTTAGACAAGCATGAGTTAAATTAAAGTTTCCTAYTGTGCTTGGTTCGATGACACCAACTTATTGTGACCCGACGTTTTCATTTTTATGAATTAAGTGTAAATGTTATTTAAAAAAACGGAATTATAACGAACGCTTCGAGGGACTCCGTGCCATGGGGTGATTCATGCATGAAGTATCTGCCATCTTAATTCTTTTACTAATTCCATGCTATACAGAAATAAGCAGATATTATGATCATTATCAACTCATATTCCAAGTATATATGAAATATAYCGGCAAGTATKGGATATCATCGACAATATGTTTTCAAGTTGCTTAGCACTAGAGGATTAGCAATGATATCCCGTCATTCCTGATATATTTTATATATACTTGAAATATTAGTAAAGTAGATCATAGTTTCTGCATATTGCTGTATTTCGTAGAACGACGCCATTTGGGTAAAGAACCATTTATTTATTGACCTATCACACTAGTGGAAGTGGTTTTCTCTATGTA